CTGTATAAAAAATTGCTAGGGATGGATAAGTGTCACCAAGAGCCCAGAGACAGTCTGAGATCGGTCCCTGCAACATGCCTTTGCATACTTGTCTTGCTTTTAGAAGATCAGGGAAGTTTCCCGGGAGAAATTTAAGGGCTAATCTGTGCTCGGTGTTGTGTCATGTGGATCAGCAGTGCAAGAGCGGGAGAAGTATCTTTTACTGCAATACCTAAGCATAGTCCCCAGCACAGATGGAGGGACACCGACAAAAATGAGTGCGTAAAATTATTTTTAGTCGTGTGATACATGTGCTCTGGTACTTGCTGCTAGCCACAATAGTCTCCCGCCTTGAGGTTATGACATAACTTTTGCCATCAAGAAAAAAAAGAGCTTAAGGTCCAGCTCTGTCCCCAGAGCGGGATCTGCTATGCTTAAACCGCCCTGAACCCCTCTCTGTGAACAGCTTCCAGTAACGGAAGAGGTTCTGCCTCCTCCCTGAGGGACTTCGCTCAGGACTTGAGTTACTGCTAGGAGCTCCTCGCTAACAGTCAACCTGCATCACCTTTGAAGCAAATGCAAACCATTACTATTTGTCCCTTCCACAGTAACATCAAAAAAGGAAGCTCTTTGTAGCATGCATTTTGAGTTACAAATTTTTATCGCATCTTCTTACAGCCTTTTCTAGACTAAACAACAGTCTATTTCAAACTTTTCTTACAACTTGCTCCCTTCAAAGAAGTCAGGCCCAAGCAAAGCCATGTACCAACCCCAATCCTCCCTTGAGATACTGCTCCGCTTTCTTGCATTACCAACTTTTGCAAGTGACAGCAGCTGCTCCCACATACAGAAGTCCTGCAACAAACTCTAGCGAGGCAACAAAAAAAAAAAAAAAAAAACATCCTCTGATAGAAATGGGAGACTCCTCCCTTGTTAAGTGCTGCCACCCACGTAATTAGGATGCTCACAGACTATAAAGCAGCCATTTTCCACTCTGCTGGAGTTGTAGTGACATAGTTATCCTAGTGGGCCTAGGCAATAACTGCTGCTTGTGTTAGCAGTTCTTGCTTTATATAGGTGCTCTGAAGAGAAAGTAAAGCATTTGTGTTTTGCAACAGGATAGTTTGTTCCAGTGGCATATAGGGTGAGTGGTCTCCTGGTCTGACCTTCTAGAGGTTTTCTGAAGCCAAGTAGCTCACTGTAAAGTTGTTAAGGTGGCTTTGCGGATGTCTGCATCACTGGGTGTGAGTCTAGTCTCTCCCTGTCAGTACAGACAGGCATTCAGTATTCACTATAAGTTCTTTTTCATATGCAAATATGAGCAATAATGAGAGAGGTCACTGGAGAAAGGTGGGCTACAGCTTTGTCCCCACAGGTATCATATAATTCTAGGTGAATTTATATTTCAGTGTATTTACCTTCATAAAGACTCAGCTAAGGATATGGAAGTCAAAAAACAGAGGAAGATGTAAAAAGAAGCATTACCAGCTATGTATGGGTACTTTAAAATGCATTTATGGATTGGTCCAACTGTAAAACCTAATTATTAGACTTATTGTCACCTTCTCTTCCACAATTATGTACCAGTTGTTTCATGGACCTTAAATAGACGGGTAAGCAGTGTTCATTTGTAGTTCATGGTCCCTTAGCTGCTGTATTGTGGTAACTCTCTGTTTACAACAGTGGTTGTTTCTCATACTTTGTTCTTTACTTGTGGGTTTGTATTTTATCTCTCTTCAGTAGCTGTATATTAGTAACTCAGTCATCTTACTGTGGACTGAACTTGTCAGTGAGTTCAGGTAACAGAATAGGTAGAGAGAAGGGTGTGGATAGGAAGAAGGCATGAATTTGAGGTTAAGGAAAGATTCAACTAAGGAATGGGCTGCATTGGATTGCAGCTTTGAGTCCAGGGACCTCTGAAGTGGCAGGAAAAACCACATACCTTACAGTAATGCTTTTGTTAAGCTATACTTATTTTCTGTAGAAGCAAATGAAAAAGACAAAAATGTATATCTGACTTTCAGATATTCTCAAACCTGTTTGGCTCTAAGGCTTCTGCTAAGATCATGCCCCAGGCCAGCAAAAATCATGCTGAGATAGGTCTATGTCAAGCTTTCATCTGAGGTTTTGCTTGATGTCTTAGGGCTAATGCTTTGTTTACTAACAATGAAGACCTGAAATATGCTTAGAAATGAACCTGCCTCTCAACTCTTCCATTGTCCTTTACAAACAGACACTTGCACAGAAGCAAGGAGTAATCTTTACATTCTAAGTAAGCAAGTAGCCTTGGCAGCTGGGTATAAAACTCCCACTATCAAAATACCTTTTGCTGTATATGAAGAAGTAGGACTTTGTGGATGCTAGTTTCTAGGCATTCAAGCCAAATTAACCTGAGATTGCATTTGGTGTGGCTATTGGAAAAAAGCAAGCTGCCCAGGCCTCTGAGATGGTGTTTTCCTGAGGATAGCACAGGATCAGTTTGTCTTGAGTTTCTCTGGCTATGACTGCACAAAATGAGTGTGCAATTGTTCTATTAGGTAAGCCAGCAAACTTAATTAGTGTTTAATCTTCCTTCTGTCACCATATTCACATTGAACCCCAGGTAGTTCAGAGCTTGTTAGTTGTTTGCAAAATTTGGAAATAGGAAGGAATTTGTTTGCCCCTTGACACATAAGCTGGTATCTAGGGATTTTAGTTAATTTCTTTCAAAGTGTTGGAGACTGGCCACAGCTAAAGCTGGGAGGTGATGGTCTGGCTAATAGTATTAAGTCCCTCTGGCCCCTGGCTGCTCTCCTTTCATATATTCAGGGTTAAACCATTCACCAGACTTGAATTCAGGAAGGAATTTACCCCAGGGTAGCCTGGCACCATAGTGAGTGTTTTTGTCCTTCTCTGTCCTTTCAGTGTGTTTCCACAGGGGGCCTTCAATATAATGAATCCCCTGCTGTAAAAGGCTCAGGCAGTGTCTTGATCTCTTCTGCTCCTTTTCTGTAGCATAGGCTCCCTTAGCAGAGGCCTTCAGTTTGCAGCTGTGCTAGGAATGTTCTTATGTAGGGTACATCTTAAGGACTCTTCCAGACTGAATATATAGTATGTGTTTATATGCTTTGGTCAGCCTAGGTTCTTACAAGCTCTAACAGCCAGTAAAGATTCATGGATGGGTGTTCAGGCTTAAAACTGGCCCTCTCCACTGCTGTCATGTAGGTTAGCTATGCTAGAGCTAGCATGTGTAGACTCATGCTACGGGTGTCTTTATTTTGCAGATGTTCTAAGACACCAGTTGTTACTGCATAAGATTGCATTGTAAAAGTGTTCTCCTTCTTCTATTAAAACTGACTTTTCACTCAAAGTAAACCATTCCTTACTGTCCACCATCTTATTGTCAGTGATCAGTGAAGTTACCATACTTGCACTTCAAATCATTCTGCTTTAGTTAAGAAGTTGTTTAATGAATAATTTCATTATGTTGCAGTGCTCAGCAGATCTGTATCTGCAGCATGGCTCCTAAAAGCAATCAGTGTGTCAGGAAAAAAACCCAACATGGTAGCAACCAAGGTTTAAAGATGTGTAGGTGTTGGTAGTCTGTAGCGATCTGTCTGAACTTAATTCCCTCTCAGCTCACAGGGTAAGGTTGTCCCAAGAACGCCTGCTATAGCAACTTCGGGCCTGTGGGTGCTCTGTCAGATTTGGCACGTTAACTCCTCTTGGTTTGGAGAAGGGTGTAAATGAAGGAAAGTAAAGAGAAATGGGCTTAGGAAAGCTCCAGCTGCTGGTAGAGGTGGGATTCCTGCAAAATGTTAGCACCGTGGCCTCCCAGAAGTTAGATGTTGGCTGCAGCACAGTACCTGCTTTGGAGTGGGATGTGAAAGCAAGGCTGTGCCCTTCCCTGTGACCTTGTGAATCCCCCAGGGACTCTACTAGCTTAAGTCCTGACACAGAAAGGGCAAAGAGACGTGAATGATGGCTAGTGTTGTAAAACTTGAAAGCAGAGTTTTAAAGATCCTGCAGTGTTGTGTAAAGTGCGCTGTTAAAGTATGTGTGAGACTTGTGGGGGCCCACTTGCACACTGAATGTGTTGTAGACTCCTTAACATAATGTGCCTCTCTCCTGGTTTCTAATCCCAGACTCTAGGGAAAGTTGCTACTTCTCTGTACTACAGAGGGTCACATGAGTTCGTGTCTACAAACAGTGTGAGGTCCTGGCTAAACAAAAGAGCATAGTGTAGGACCTGAACTGGAAATAGGAGCAATGCAGTCCTGTGCAGAACTTCAGACTTAATGCCAAATGATCACCAGGACTGGTTTTTTTCATCATGAAGTGAATAAGCAACTGAAAGATGTATTTTGATATCTGTAGTGTTACAAATTGTCATTGACAGAAATAACTCTTAATAAAGATGGCAAATACTGTAAATGCTTTATGTCTTAAGCCATCCAGTGTCACAGCTGCAGGTTTGGTATGTAGTACCTCCATGATGACACTGTGGCTGTGAACTTGCCACTCTATTCACAGGAGAACTAATTCTGAGAAGGACATTGATTTTATGGGAACATTCAGGATATAAGGTACACCCTATAATAAATTCAAGCAGAGAGTTGGTCCCATGGGCTCAGTTACAAGTGGATTTTTGGATGTTTATGGTCATAAATTAATGTATTTAAATTTTTTCCTCTAAGGTCTGAAATAATATTTTTTCTTCAAAGATGCTATTTTTAAATTTATCTGAGACTGCAGATAATTCAGCTTAGCAATTTAGATGCAGGTTTCCTCTGAGCTTGGGTGTTGTTACTCATTACCAGCCCATCTGCACTGACTTCAGGGGATTTTTTCCTACTAGTAAAGCAAGCACAGGCTCTGAAGCCCACTGTAGACAAACAGTTTCTGACTCTGCTGGGCTTTAAATCAAAGGCTAAAAGCATTGCAAGAAATGGGAGCTTAACCCATGTAGCCCCTGAAACTCCTTGGCCTTAATGAAGTGCTAATGGCACTACTCATTGATGTATAGCTTAGGAAAGTGCTGGTTAGGAAATATCCACTGTTGGTTGGAAGGATCCAGCTTTGGCAGTGATGGCACCCCAGTCAGTGAATCGCTTGTACTCGCCAGGCCTCAGGAGGTACTGCTGTCCTCAGAAGTGCGGCTGTTCATAGAAAACTCAGCTTCCTTCAAGTACATTATAAGACTGGATGTTCCTGTAGTGAAAGTCATCCTGGAGAGAAGGGCAGTTATCCATGAACGCCAACATCCTGCCTCCTAAGTCATTCCTCATAGATCTGTAGCTGGCTGTGCTGCTGGGGCTGCGAAGAAAAATCCAGACATGGATGCACAGGATGTCAAGTGGCAGTTCTAGGTGACTACAGCTTGCTAGATGCAATACTGATGCTAGCAACACAACAGTGAATAGCCACTAGTACGTGCACAAATGTCACTTTAACAGGAATAAATCTGACTGGGTCCTAATTTAAAGCAGCAGTGCCTTGAGTCCTTTCTGCTCCAGTGAGAGCAGAACTGCTGTTTCTTTCAAAGAATTGCAGTAGGGGAGGACACAGAAGTGGGGTCTAGCCAGGATGACTGCACTTCAACTGTACACGCAGGTGAGAAATAAGCTCAGTGATATACTTGGCTTGCCACAGCAGTCACATGCCCTCAGTGTTCCTAGATGTTGATGTAGTAACTGGATAAGGCTCCGGCTGGGACCGAGGGGAGCTTTTTCTGATCCTGTTTTTGTTGTACAGCCTTAGGTTGGCAGGGTGTTTTTTTTGCTTTTCACCTACTAAGATGATAAACTGTTTCAAGACTGTCTCTGACTCTTGTATCTAGCCCAGCAAAGACTTGATATAGAAAAGTACTTTCCGCTCTTGCATCAATGCTCAATACAGTTTTTGCAGGTGCTGAAGTGCAGTTGTATAGACACAAGGGTACTGCTGCTGTGCAAAGACCATTACCTTACTCAGTTTAAAAAAAAAAAAACCAAAAACAACAACCAAAAAACCCCCCAAAATCACAAAAAAACCAAAACAGCCAAACCCAACAGCACTTTAGTATCTACATTTGTGGAATCAAACTTTCTAGACACTCTTGTTCTGAATCTGGAAAGCATGCAGAAATGTGTCCTAATTTTAGGATTTTTTTCTGCCCCCATACTCATTCTCAGTTTCACCGCTCCTTCTCAGACACTTCCCATCAGTCTCCCAAGTCAACTTCCCTTCAGTCCATCTTGTTCCCACCCTCCTCATCTGTGACTTCTTTCCCTCTACAGCTTGAAAAGACACAAGAGTGTCTGCACTAGCTTTCAGCACTTGGACCCAGAATTTGGCTTAGCTAAGTGAAGCCCAGAACTGCATGTCAGTAAAAACAATAGCTGCATTATCCTATGCAGATGGAATGTTTCTGGAAACTTACTGTGATGGTCCATGAAGCTTCTACTGGACAGGGAAACTATGAATTGTACATAAAGCTTACAACATGGATGAACTTAATTTTTCATGAACATTGGAGGGACACATTCCAGTATCGAGGCTATTCCTGGGCCAAATCTCAAATCCTTAGCCTCATGTGTGAGTATTGAAATCTTTCACATCTTGGCAACCCCTCCCCTCTTAGCAAAACTCTTCCAGGGAATGAGTCTAGGAGAGAAAAACGTAGATCTATTCTTGGCTGACGTATTCAGAAAAAAAATCTATCATGAGGCAAATAGGCCTTCATTTGCAGCTCAGATACATGGTGGTGTCTCTACAATGGGATGTGTCAGGTTCCCTCTGTAGTAGTGTAGTCACCAACTCTGCCTACCTTGAAAGAAGAGCATTCACAGGGGCATGGGAGATGCGGTTTGGTTCTCAGCTCTGTACTAAACTTCCTTGTGTAGATCATGTATAGCCAGAGTTGTTTGAGAAGATTGGTGAAGTTAAGTGCTTTTATATATACAAAATAATAGATTTAGATACTATTAAAATAGATACTATTAAAATAAAATTAATATAATAAACTACCCCCTCAAGCACTAACCAACCTTTCATTTGGCTGAGAATCCCAATTGACTTCTCTATCTCTTTGGGAGTCTAAACCCCATTAGGTGAACTTGGTAAGTGTCCTTTCTAATACCCTCTTTCTACACAGAGGTCTCTGGGGAAATTGTTACTTGTGCCAGAGTTGTCAAAATGGGGTGTAGTGCTCTGATTTTAATACAGACAGTAATATACATGGAGACAATATGGAAAACTTACTGCTGTGATGATACAACAAGACCTAGTGGAGTCATTGAAGCCCATCCAGTGCTGGTAGTCAGGATATCCTCCCTTCCTCATGAAGTACTGATGGCCTATGTAGTTGGGATGTTCATAGATCATCCAGCAGCCAGTTTCCACCTTGTCAAAGTTGCAGCAGTTGAGGTGGGCCTGCAGGTCTGGCTGGTCTGTGGTGGTTTCACAGGAGCCGCCCTCAAAGTCTCTGGCCTCAAAGAAAGTGATCTGCAATAAAACAAAAGTAACCCTAGTCACACTGGAAAGTGTTTGAAAGCTGGCTTTGTTTTGCCTAGATTGTACAAAACAATCCAAAGACTGCAAAGGTCCATAGGGACACTTCTGCCAGGCCCAAAGACTAGCAAAGCACTTATGTCCTTTTTCTATAGGATGCACAGACAGTTACTGTTGTCTTCATTTCTCTAGCACTACAAATGAGAGGTGGATGTCCCTTTGGGACTCTGGGAAGTGGGGGGCAACTTTTGTCATGATTTCATGCTGGCAATAGCCTGTCAGCAGCTTCATGACAAGTTTTTGGGAGCATTTGGAGAAAGTGAAACCCAAATTGCTCTTTGACTGAAAGCTCCATGGACAACTTCTGTGTATCACACAATCATTCAGCTTTGTGCCCATCTCCTGCACCCAGTCCTGGGCTCCTAGAAATCTTCTGCAATGTAGAATACAGGCAAAGGAAGGAATAATTCTCCTACATCTGAATTGTGCTGAAGCTTTCACCTCTCTTAATGATACAGGAACAAATTAAAATAAACAGAAGACTGTTGTGTCTAACCCGAGTTAATCATTGAGCACTCTAGGTCCTGTTGGGCAGCTATATCTTAGAAGCAGTAAAATCAAGTTAGATACTTGAATTCAGTAGCATTGTTTGGTGATATTTATTGCATTTGTTTGGAATAGAGTACTTCAGCCTTATTTTCGTGTACAACTTAGAAGTCTAAGAATATATAAACTTTAGGTCTCTTTCAGCAGCTGACAAACTCAAAGGGAAACTAGCCAGACAGAAAAATAAAAACAAAAGATTTTTATGTGTAAATGTTTTAGCATTTGAAAGCTTCCAAGTACACTACAGGCTTTCTTTAGGAAACTTACCAAAGAGCTAGATAATAAAACAACCACTCAAGGTTTCCCCTCTGCTAATTTGTTGGTAGACCAACAAACTATGTTTGCAAACATACTTGCCTACAAGGAGCTATGCATGTGCAATGTTGTTTGTCAGTGCTCCATTCACTCAGCTGTTCCTATCTTTGCCATTTTTGCCAGGATTTAGGTATGTGACCTCAGCATGCAGGAGTAGTCAGCAGTCCTTCACGTAGAATGCACACTGCTGCATCCATGGAGGTAGGATAAAAGAGAATTTTTTTTCTCAGTAAAAAGAATGAAAGTTTTTCCCCCTCCCTCTCTCCATTCTCTAAACAAAAGGCAATAGCAGTAGTTTGTGGGGTACCAGCTTTATTGTTAACTGTCAGTAAGTAGAGCATCAGAGTAAAGGGTAGGTCAAGCAATAGTTCTGTTATTTTACTGATGGAACATGTGCAAGCAAAAGTGCTGGAAATGCTGCAGCAGAATTGTTTCATGTCACTTCATTTTTAATCTCTCTCTGTTCCCTGATTATATAAGACAAAGTTTTTTTAATGCATATGGATTCCCAGTGATGATACTGTAAAACAGTTTTCACAGTATGCTAATAAAAACTGTCCTGATTTTCAAGGGCCTTCAGACCAGATATTGCTGGCTGTTTCCTTTAACAGTAAGAGTGTGTGTATCAGAGAGAAAATGATGTAATCAAAAATGCGTGGTAATGGACGTTTACATCCATCCAGGCCTCACTGCTGAAATTCGCTACTAATGTAATTCAGAGTTCATAGATAAAGAGACTAGAAGTTGAAAGATGGATACCCCTTGTTTAAGGCAAAGAAGAGCCTTTTTAAATCTGCACAGAAAAATGTTTCACTTGAGAGATGTACAGATTTTTGGAGCTCAGGTATGAGTCATTGAGGCAAAATGCAACAGCATAGTAATTTCTTTAACTGAAGAAACTTTAATTGCAGTTGAACTTTAAAAAAATGTTGATTAGGAAGAACATTGTGGTAACTTTTCAGTCTGTCTCATGTGAGTAATGGGAAGTAACCTGAGTAGAATTTTTGTGCTACCAGTGCTAGATCAGGGCCTTTCAGTATTTCCATTTAGTCTAGTAATTACAAGGCCTAAGTATGAACCAATGTTAAAATATCAAGGAAATGTTATCTATTTGAAATAAATTAAAAAAAAAAAATCCAAGGCTGTTTTTCAAAGGAAAAAGATAAACAGCACAGTTTTGGGTTATTCTTCTGGAATTTTAAATATTTCTCTATAACTTGGGTTTTTTTTTCCAGGGACTATTCCTTTCTCTTCTACTTGCCTTCCTTTTCTCTCCTTCCACACCCATCTTTGAACTAACCTTCACAAAATCCTATCATGTGCAGTGCCACATTTTCATATTCCTGCTTATACTGCATGGAGAAATAATGGATCTTTACCAGTCTCACTGGCTTCTTGTTCAACCAAAACGTTACATGTTTGTGCTTTCTTGCATGTGTCTTTCACTATAAGTCTTCCATGATGATTTCACGAAGCCACAAAACTTCAGGGGCAAATCTTTCACTGGCCCATTTTTACACAGTTCTAGTTGTGCTTCTAATGGGTGTTGTAAATGGTGTCACTCCTGTCAGCCTCTCTCTTGGAGGTGCTTCCTCAGCAGGA